CTCATGCTCCACACCCAGAGCGGTCTCATCTCTGTCCTTAATCATAGTAGAGCGCCACCTGCTGGGTTTCTGGAAGTTCACGTTGTTTAGATCTGAATGTGAATCAAATGAACAAACCGGTCCTGAGACAAACCTAAGATGAAACCCAGCGGCTGTGAGTGTGAGCTACAGTAGCAGGAAGTCCACTCTGATTGGCCAACAGAAACTCCTCAGACCAGTTTCAGAATCTTTGTGCATGAACGTCGACTCATGAAGATCCATATCACAGTATGTCGTTACAGTACAGCTGCTGCTGTTAGGCCTGGTGGCAGGGTGAGAGTCACAGCTGATAGGTCAGCGGGTCAACTTCAAAACATCTGAAAGTAAAAACCAGATGTAGCTAGCTGACCGTCACGACGACAGAACCAAACATGTTGTCTCTCTGTCAAACGTTTTTTTTTACAGATATTTAGCTTCAAACATTTGAACTGTGTCTAAGAGTTGACTTAAGTGTGTGTGTTTTATAAAGTTAATCTCACCGGGTTTCTTTCAGCAGCAGCCAATCACAAGTAAGAAAAAAAGTTGGATCCCTGAGCTGTCCACCCGTGGACACCAGCCGATGTTGCTGTCCCTCGATTGTCCCTCATGTGATCTGAGTTCTCTGAGTCATGTCCTTAATACTTTCACATTCAAACTGGTCCAACTGGGTCACGGCGTCCTGATTGGCTGAAGGTAGCGCCAGTGGAACGTCAACGCCAACCCTCACCTTCTGCCAGGTAATGTAGGAGTGTTGTCTGTCCGCCAGGTGGAGCCAATAGTGGCAGAGAGAAAGAACAACTAAATGTCAGGACAAAGGATCAGCTAACGTTTAGCTCTTGAGCTATAAAAAAAGGCTCGAAAATATACGGTATATTGAGACAAAGGAAGATCAACAACAAATCTAAAAAATAAAAACCAGACCAAAAAGAGCAGACAAACTTATCAAGTGTCAAAGATGTAAACTAGCTTCAAATTATCTCACGATTTCAAACTAAGCTCAAAGAGTTGAAACTAATGCCGAAAACAAGTGAGAAAAAAAACTAAATCTGAACTGAAGTTACACTTTGGAACAATTAAACGTTGGTCATAATATTTAATAATTATTATTTGTTCCACCTCTGTTACTCGACAACCCATTAACGTAGTCATTCTGTAACTAGAGTGTAGTCATTTGTCAAATAGACGTTTTCTACCGGGTAAATGAGTCAGACAGGACGGACGTGTAACCAAAATGATAAAACATTAAATAAATTAAATTTATTAAATACAATATCAGATTAATCATATTGCCGCAGAGCTATAAGAAAAATAAGTCAAATGACCCTATTTTTAAACAGACATTTTGCGACACTCCATGAACACAGCCGCAACCGGGGTGACGTCAGCAGTTGTTGTGCTGTTTGACGTAAACTTCCTGCCGCAGCTGTGGTCACTGACTTGGATGCTGCGGTTCACTCCGTAACATGGATAAAAACCTCTTGATATTCACACGACGTTGATGACGTCAAGTTAATTTAATAGGTGAACGGTTTTTTTTCTTTTCAGGTCAAACCGCGCTCTTGTTGCGCGAAGCGTTCGTGAGTGACGTATATCTGTTATTGTTGTTAGCAGCAAGCTAACGCTAGCGTCGATCTCGATCGCAGACATGATGGCGTCCGTCTACAACGCCAAAGACGAGGACGGACACATAAGTGTCAGTGGACCCAGCGGCGGCTCGGCTGCAGCCATGCGGGGAAAGAGGCCCGAGAACACCGCGTTCAAGCAGCAGAGGCTCCCGGCCTGGCAGCCCATCCTGACCGCAGGCACCGTCCTGCCCGCCTTCTTCATCATCGGCCTCATCTTCATCCCCATCGGCATCGGCCTGTACGTCACCTCCAACAACATCAAGGAGTTCGAGGTGAGGCTTTAAATAAGACTGTAGTCATGAAAAAAGTCAAGTCTTACGTCACACAACACTGTCCTGGGGGGTCAAAACGTCATACAGATCAGGTGACCTTTAATTTTTAATGGTCATTTTATTCATCAGTTTTGTTTCTGCACGACATGAATAATAGTGTGTTGTCAGTGACGTCACCCTGACCCTTGAACCAGGGAGCTGGAGAAACAGAAGTGGTCCACGGTGGTGAAGAGCCACCTGTTATAGGTGTGTGTGACATAATGACAGACGTCACAGACGACCTCCTTTAATGACCTGCAGCAGCAGACCTTGTTTGTTTGTTTGTTTGTTTGTTTTTAACGACCACGTTTGCCGACCCACAGATCGATTACACAGGAGTGGACATGTCCAGTCCCTGCTTCAACTGTTCCCAGAACCTCAGCTGGAACAGCTCCAGACCCTGCACCTGCTCCATCCCCTTCCACCTGGACCAGCCGTATGAGGTCAGTGGGGCCTGAACCTTCACCTATACCAGACTGAACCACTGTGTGGCAGTGTTTCAGCTGGTGTTTTTAGATCGTTCTGTACCAGTCCTAGGTGGTTCACTTCTCTAAGTTCGGTTAATAGAGTTTTCGTGCTATCTTAGAGCTAACTATTAGCTGATACTGTAGCTAACCTTTAGCTCTTTTTATAAAATGTTTGTCCGACCTTTGGTCAGTTCTGTGGTGTGGTCACTTTGGTAGGATTTCCTGAACTTTGACAGATGTGAACTCTGTTGTCTGTGACCTGACAGAACAACGTCTTCATGTACTACGGCCTCTCCAACTTCTACCAGAATCACCGTCGATACGTCAAGTCCAGAGACGACAGCCAGCTGAACGGAGACTTGGACGCCCTCACGGTGAGAAACGCTGATTCATGATGATGATGATGATGATGAAGATGAACAGGACACTGCAGTAGGAGGAGTGGTCTTCCTCTTTTCTTTCCTGTTTTAAATTGTCCACCTCATTCCCAGAAACCCAGTAAGGAGTGTGAACCGTACGCCTATCATGAAAACAAACCAATTGCACCATGTGGCGCCATCGCTAACAGCATGTTCAACGGTGAGTTCCTGACGACTTTTTATTATAATAAGTACTAGAAGTAGCCGTAGTAGATCTTTGAAACACCATGTTTCACATTTGACACAGACACATTGGAGATTTTCTATCACGACCCCAACGGTACCAGGGTTCCAGTTCCTCTGACGTCCACAGGAATCGCCTGGTGGGCGGACAAACATGTAAAGTTCAGGAACCCGAGTGAAAACCTGAACCTAACAGCAGCGTTTCAAGGTACTGCCCATCAGTCAGTGTGTGACATTTGTCCGTGGACTTTGGTCTGTGGCCTTTCCTTGTTGGACTGCTGGGCTTTGGTCAAGTCCCTAAAGTCAGTGTTGCTCCTGTGATTCCAGGAACCACCAAACCTGTGAACTGGCGCCGACCCGTCTACGAGATGGACAGTGACCCTCACAACAACGGTTTCATCAATGAGGATTTCATCGTGTGGATGCGCACGGCCGCTCTGCCGACCTTCCGTAAACTCTATCGCATCATCAGCAAAAAGGACAACATGGTTCCTACGCTGCAGCGTGGAAACTACACCCTGGAGGTGGTCTACAGTATCCTTCATCCTGGGGTGGTCTCCAGGAGACTTCCCTGTCTTATACTGTACTGTACTGTACTGTACTCTGTATTCTTTTGAGGTCACTGTAAACAGTCTCATGTTCCTAACCCAGTGAAACCCAGATTATCCGGTCCGCAGCTTTGACGGTAGGAAGCGGATGATCTTGAGCACCATCTCCTGGATGGGAGGAAAGAACCCCTTCCTGGGCATCGCCTACATCACCGTGGGCTCCGTCTGCTTCTTCCTTGGCGTGGTGCTGCTCATCATCCACCACAAATATGGCAACCGCAACAACAGCGCCAACAACTCCAACTGAGACGCTGCTGCTGCTGCTGCTGCTGCTGCTGCTGCTGACACTCATCAGCCCTGGTCCTGTTGTTAATCCATAATCCTATCCTAGTCTTAATCCTGATCCTAGTTGTAATCCTAATTCTAATTCTAAACTCAATCCTAGTACTAAACCGACTCCTGATCCTAGCTCTACACATTATTCTGATCCTGGAACCTAATCCTAATCCCGGTCCTGATCCCGGTCCTGATCCTGGATCTAAAGGCCTGGTGGTTTGGTGTCGGGGGTCTACGTAGACTGGACATGAGCCTCAACACGTCAACATGAGGTTCTGCTGGACTGATGGAGCCACGTCTTTCCTCCACTCACATGCATGTTGGGACCTGGGTGTTTTCTCCCCTGTCGTCACCGCTGTCATGACGTCGCTTCAAACCAAAATTCCATTTCCTGCTCCTCAAGTTTTCAGTCGGTCAGTGACCTTTGAACTCTGGCTGTTTTTGGTTATTTGTTATTGTTTGGCCTCAGAGAGGTTTTTAAGTTGAAATCTAAAGCTTGTAAACAAGTGCTGCCCCTTGTGGGCAGTTGGTCCACTGCCAGTTATGTGCAATAGAAATGTAGTTGTTATGTCTGAAGAACAACAACGAGAACGTGAAGATGTTTTATTTCTGTTTAATTTATTGACTTTTATAATGTTTTTGTGTTGTGGCTTAAAGTGCATTAAAACCTGGTTGAACGTTAGCACTCGTTTGTTATTCTGCTTTTTTTTAAAAATCAATTATTTTTTATACTGTTTTATACACAATGATGTCACAGATCCATAAAAGAAATGAATAAAAATGTGGATGTTGACGTGATCCTCCTGGAGCAACAGCTGCAGTGATGTGACCCACAGACCACTGTCAGTGACTCGTCTGTTGACTTTGGAGGACTAATCCAAAAACATTAAAGAAAGTAGATGAGAAAAAAAAGCATTTGTGAGAACAAACTTTACAGTGTTATGTCGTATCATTAGTACTATTAATGACGTGCCTTTGATGACGTCACACAGAGCGGTCTGCGGGCCTGGATAAAGGTTACTGTTTGAACCGCATTCGAGATAAATGCGATTACGTCTCGTTCCAAAAAATGAGTTTCAGCCTTTGTTTCGTTGCAGCACTGGAACAGTTTGTATCTGCGTCCACTGGAGGGCAGGAGAATCGACGCTCAGCGGAAACAGTCTTATTGATAAAGACGAAGAAGAACTAGCAGCTAAAGCGGAAGTACGATTTCGGTGTCCTTGTGCTGCAGGAACATAAAGATGTTGAGACACGCATTAGTGAGTACTTTTTTAATTATATTCGTCTTTCACAGTGTGATTAATTATGACATTTTAATGGCGTTGCTATCAACCGACACCGAAGGTCGAGGACATTCTCATTTTAATGTTTTATTCAGAGGTCAAAGTCACTTCAGTTAGCATTAGCAGCTGCGCTAACGTTACCGCAGATTTCCTGTCATTTACCCCTCGGTTTATAGGCATGTTTAGTCATTTAAACCTGTTTCAATACATCGGATATACATCTGTAATGGAAACATTGTGATAAATAAATAACAGAATCTTACTTCTTACTTAAACAGAAATCTGAAGCTGAAAATGTGACGGTTCCCGCTTACATTGGTATTTCAGTTGAATTTATGATGATATAACTGGAGTTTCAGGAATTAATTTCCCCTTGAAGTTTAATTTATGAAATCATATTTTCATAGTGTTATGATAGTGTTGTTGTCATATATTTATTCCTTTATTATCTTTAAATTTCTTTATTGCATGGTTTTTCTTAAACCGTTGACTCTGAGTCCCAGTGAAGCTGGACAAACAGAAACCTTGAACCCTGGTCTTCATGAACGATGTGTTCACATCAGACGCATCACCAAAGAATCTACTATTGAATAATGTCGAGGAGTCGCCGCTCTGTGGACGGTTCAGTGTGGGACTGATGTCCAGGACCTGTGATCATCCAGGCTCCTGTTAATATCCAATGTGGTGTTTTCAGACTCTCCAGAAGGTGGCGCAGCGGAGCATCTGCACCTCGGCGTGCAGGCAGGTGAAGAACCGGGTTCCAGAGAGACAGAAGGAGTTTCAGGTCTGCCTCGTCGTCTTCTTTCACCCATGTTGGTTTAAGACGTGCTAATAATAAACTCACGGCTGTTATTTACAAAAGTGAAACACGTAAAAGTACACACTGTATGTATGAATATATATAAATATATACGTTTGGACAGTACACCTTTCCATCCATCTGTTGTAGTACTCCACTCTAATTTGGAGTAGTTTTACCATAATGTAGACGTTTGTCATGTGGTGACATTCAACCACTGGCTCGTGGCCCTGTTGTTGCTTCCTCCAGATTCCAGGAAGGTCCAGGGTTTGTCCGGATCTTCTTTACTGACATGAACGTCTGCCTTCACTCCTCTGGGCTTCAGTCTGATCTAGTGCCATCTAGTGGACAGATGACTGTTATCAGTGCAGCACTGGTGGACTGTGAAAAATAACTTTTTTCAAAACTAATTCTAAATCCCATTGCCCCCCCCCCCCCTCGCCCCCCCACTGCAGGAGGACCTTGGGTTGCCCGTTCACTTACAAGGAGGAACCAGAGACTACCTGCTGTACGGCGCCACCATGGTCCTCGCAGGCTGCGGTAGGAGAACCAGAACCTTCACCAGAACCTCTCCTGACTGGAAACAGCCTTGAAAGTTGTTGAAAAACCCTTGAGTCACACCTTGTGGTGTTCTCTTCCAGGAACTGGAGCCGTGCTCTACGAGCTGTGGAAGGCATCCTTTCCTCAGAAGAAAAACTAACTACAGCGCCCCCTGCTGGGATCTTAACAGAATCAGTCCAACTCCAGACCTCCAGATGTGTCGGGCAGCGAACAGTTCCAGTCACTGCTCCAGGGACTCTTGTTCAGTTCATGTTTTGTTTCACGTTCATGGGATCAATATTTATTTCCTGTTGTTTCTGTAATAGTTCAAGGATCAATAAAATGATCTCATGATTAAACCTGACCCCTGACCCCTGACCTCGAGTGTGTCACGCGCATTTTTATATTTTATATCAAAACAAAGTGGATTTTTTAATTTAAAATGTTTTAAACTGATTTTTACTTTGACGTTTCCGCTGGTGTCCAGCTCCTGTTAGCTGTAGGCCACGTTTCCTCCTCACACGTTAGCTTGACGCTCACGCTAATGTCAGGGTTCATGTTGAAACTCCTCCGATTCCATGGGTTCAAGTCCAGGGATTTAAATCCTCTGGTTGAATTATTTCCTGATTTGAATTTGGATTCTAATTCAGATCGACGTTTTCCTGTTCCTGTTCCCGCTCGGCTCCTGAACGTGACGCCGAGGTCGGAGTAGGAAAACCTCGGCTCTGTTTTAATGTAAACATGTTGATTTGTTTTACTCTGTGCTCACAGTACTGCAGTAACAGTATTGTAGTAACAGTACTGCAGTAACAGTGCTGTAGTAACAGTACTGTAGTAACAGTGCTGTAGTAACAGTGCTGTAGTAACAGCACTTTTTTACTAATCTATGTTTTTAATCCTGAATGTGAAATTCCTGATGTTGGATTTTAAACTCCCTGAAATCTGTGATTTCTTGACTAGTCAGCAGAGGGCGTCATTCCCTCAGGAATGATGGGAAGTGCAGCTGCTGGTGGTGATCTTCACTTTTAGGTGAAGTCTCTCTTTAACCGTGGTAATAAAAACCCATCGTCAGTGAAGTTGGCCCTGTGACGTCACCACTGAACCAGTATCTGATTGGACAATGATTCTACTCAATGTTGTTGTGACGTGGTCACCTTTGACCTGTGTCTGGTTCAGCTTTAGTCACTGGACTGTTAGCCACTCAGCTAGCTCTGTGTTTGGCTAACTTTTAGCTGTTTGACTTTTGTTTTATTCTTTTATTTTTTATCGCCTTCACTCCTTCCTTTATTCCTTCATTCCTTCCTTCTTTCCTTCCTTCCTTCCTTCCTTCCTTCTCTCCCTCCCTCCTTCCTTCCTTCTTTCCTTCCTTCCTTCCTTCCTTCCTTCTCTCCCTCCCTCCTTCCTTCCTTCTTTCCTTCCTTCCTTCCTTCCTTCCTTCCCGCCTTCCTTCCTTCCTTCCCTCCTTCCTTCCCTCCTTCCTTCCCTCCTTCCTTCCCTCCTTCCCTCCTTCCTTCCTTCCTTCCTTCCTTCTTTCCTTCCTTCCCTCCTTCCTTCCTTCTTTCCTTCCTTCCCTCCTTCCTTCCTTCCTTCCCTCCTTCCCTCCTTCCCTCCTTCTTTCCTTTCTTCTCTAGTTCCTCATCATCTTTTTCTTTTGTTTCCCCCTGGTCTCTCCTCTCCTCCTGTCTCCTCCTGTCTCCTCTCCGTTCTCCTCCTTCCTCTCCTCCTGTCTCGGCTGCTCCACAGAAGCTCCTCCATCAGCAGAAAGGAATGTGGTGAGGAAAGGAAAAGTTTCCGTGCATGTGTGTCTCCTCCCTCTTTCACCTCCTCTCTCTCCTCCTCTCTCTCCTCCCTCAGTTAAGAGGCAGAGTGCCTGGATCGCCGTCCCACTCGGAGACAGCCTGTGGACCCGGAGCTTCCTCAGGAGCAGACTCCACTCGCAGCAGGATTCTCTCCGTCTTCAGTTTCCCTCTCCGTCCTCCTCCGTCAGGTGAGACTGGACCTCCTCTGCTCCTCTTTTCCTGTCCCTTCACCTCCTCCTGTCGCTGATGATGATGACGATGACGAAGGTTCTGTCTGTTCACATCAGCATGTAATTCCTATGGAATATTGTTCTGTTTCTCCATGTGATTCCTGAGACATTCCCTTGGGAATAATTTCCCTCTGCTGGTTCTCCTTCCTCCCCTGATTGAGGAGGAGAGGAGTCAGTCCTCTCTTTCTCCGTTCTCCTAATGTT